CATGTAATTACTTCATGTTTCTTGCCAACTTGATATGGATGGGACTACATAAATTATTCACTCATTAATTTGGTTGGCTTGCTTTCTTCTCATCACATCCACTTGATGAATTATTTTTTGCATAACAATCAATTTACTTCTTTGTTGGCAGTAGGTTGAGATGTCTATCTTGTGCAAATGGGTTGTCCTCTTGAAGTGATTGTAGTGGGACATTTTGGTTATGATAATTATTGTTGCAAATTACCTTTCAACACCCCCTCTTAATTTGCAATCTGGAGAAGCTTCTTGAACTTCTCGAACTTCTCACGGGTAACCGCCTTTGTCATGATATCTGCTAGCTGGTCGTCGGTGTTGATAAATTCCATCACAATTTGCCCGTCGTTGACGAGGTCTCGGATGAAATGATGACGCAATTCGATATGCTTCGATCTTGCTTGAAATACTGGATTCTTTGTCATGGCTATGGCTGACATGTTGTCACAATGAATAATGGTTGGACCATTTTCATTTTGCTGCAAATCAGAAATTAATCTTTTTAGCCATACCGCTTCGCATGCTGCATCTGTAGCTGCGATATATTCTGCTTCCGCTGAAGATAGAGCAACAGTCTTTTGCTTCTTTGAACTCCAGGAAATGGGTTTTGAACCCAGACAGAATATGTACCCCGATGTGCTTTTTCGATCATCAAGTGATCCTGCCCAGTCACTATCGGTATATCCAGTCAGCTTGCTTTCTGCTTCTTTCTTGTACGTCAGGCCCAATTTTTTAGTACCTTGAAGATACCGCAAAATTCTTTTGGCTGCTGCAAAATGAAGTTTGCTAGGTTCATTCATAAATCTTGATATAAGACTTACTGAATGACATATATCCGGCCTGGTATGTGTCAGGTAAATGAGTGACCCGACAAGATTTCTGTACAACTTTCCATCGACTTTTTCAGCTCCATCATTGCGTTGTAATTTCTCGTTTAACGCCATCGGTGTTGAGATTGGTTTGCACGTTGCCATGTGAAATCTTTTCAGCATATCTTCGGTGTACTTCTCCTGTGAAATAAATATTTCTCCAGGTGACTGCTTCACTTGGATCCCAAGTAAATATTTCATGAGTCCCAAGTCCGTCATCTCGAATTCTTTCATCATGGTACTTTTGAATTCTTCGATCATATGCTGACTTGTACCTGTGTAAATCAAGTCATCAACATATAAACAAACCATTAGAAAATCTTTTCCTTCTCCCTTTTTGATGTAGAGAGATGCTTCACTCAGACTTCTTTGAAATCCATTTTGCTGAAAATGTCGATCAATTCTGCTGTTCCAGGCTCTCGGTGCTTGCTTCAGCCCGTATAAAGCCTTTCGGAGACGATAGACTTTGTCTTCTTCTCCTTTTTTCTCATAGCCTCGTGGTTGTTCCACATAGACTTCTTCTTCCAGTTCTCCATTCAGAAATGCTGATTTGACATCCAGCTGGTATACTGGTAACTCCAGTTGAGCAGCTAGAGCGAGAACTGTTCTGATGGTCTCCATCCTCGCTACTGGTGCATATGTCTCGTGAAAATCAATACCGGGCTGTTGTGAATAACTCTTTGCCACCAGTCGAGCTTTGTACTTCTGGATAGTACCATCTTCATTGAATTTGATTTTATAGATCCATTTGAGACCTATAACCGGCTTGTCCTCCGGTTGATTAACAAGCTCCCATGTCTTGTTTTTCTCGATCATGGAAATTTCTGCATCCATTGCCTCGTTCCAAACTTCTTCTTTGGATGCTTCTTCAAAGACTTGAGGTTCACAAGAAAAATATGCAACATGACTTGTTTCATAAATTTCTCGCAAAGACCTTGTTCTCAACGGAGGTGAATCCGAGTCTGTTACGACGTCTCTGAAGTCGTCTTCTTCTGGGCTAGGTGCAGAATTTCTTTCTGGACTAGCAACTGGATCTGGGTCATTGCTGGGGTCTTCTGGAGTTGCTGAGTCCTCCAGAATTTCATAACTTGGTGGAGATTGAGAAATTGGATTTTCCCAATTCCACTCCGCCATTTCATCAAAGATCACATCTCGGGAAACCACCACTTCGTTCTTTACTGGGTTGTAAAGACGATAGCCTTTGGATTCATCACTGTAGCCGGTGAAAATCAGCTTCTCACCCTTCTGGTCAAACTTGTCTCGGTTTGGGGTAGAAATATGTGCATAAGCTATGCACCCAAAGACTTTGAGGTGATCCACCTGTGGCCTCTTGTGGTGCCACGCATGTATCGGTGTCTTGTTCCGAACTGCTTTGGTTGGTGATCTGTTGAGGATGTAAATTGTTGTATTGACCGCTTCTGCCCACAAGTTGTTGGGAAGCTTCTTGGCTTTGAGCATACTTCTCGCCATCTCCACAATCGTGCGGTTTTTCCGTTCTGCCACGCCATTTTGTTGTGGTGTGTAACGGACCGTCAGCTGCCTTTTGATTCCGTTGTTGCTGCAATACTCCATGAATGGAGTATAAATAAATTCTCCTCCACGATCTGTACGGAGAGTTTTGATTTGATGGCCACTTTCCTTCTCAGCTACTGCTTGGAATTGAAGGAATTTGGGAAAAGCTTCTGACTTTTGCTCCAGAAAGAATTCCCACATCATTCTGGTGAAGTCGTCCACAAATAGTAGAAAATATCTTTTACCGCTGAGTGATTGTGTTCGGGTTGGACCGCATATGTCTGCATGTACCAACTCTAGTGGCGCTTTTGCTCTCCAAGATGTCTTTGGAAATGGTAAACGATGCATTTTGCCATATATACATCCTTCACAGATCTTGTCTTCTCTGTTGATCTGGGGAAGACCCACCACCATATTTTTCTGCCTCAATAATTTGAGGCCTTTGAAGTTGAGATGACCATATCTGAGATGCCATAGGAAGGATTGATCAAGATTTTCACTCTTGAATGCTACTTCACCATTTTGTGACATAGCAAGAGAGAAAATTCTGTTGGAAGTCATCGGGACTTTGGCCACCATGAAATTGTCAGCTTTGTTGATAATCTCGCAGACGCCATTATCAAACAATAGCTTGTAATTTTTCAGCATCAGTTGTCCCACGCTAAGTAGATTGAGAGTTAGCTCCGGAACATACAAAACATCTCGAATGAGAGTTTTGTTGCCTTCTTCTGTGCATACAACAACTGTGTCTTTTCCTTCCACTTTTAGCTTCTTCCCGTCTCCCAACTTGACTTGAGAGCGGTATTGGTCATCAATGTCGGTGAAGGACTCCAGATCTCCAGTCATGTGGTTACTGCAACCACTATCCACCATCCAGGGAAGCTGTGATTTTTGCTCACCATTCAAGCATGATAAGGCCACCATATTGCTTTCTTCATTTTTGGTGCCACTTGACTCGCCTTCTTCTTGCTTGTTCTGGAACCAGCAATCTCTCTGGGAGTGGTTTTGAATTCTGCACTTGGTGCACTTGAATCTGCAGTCTTTTGTTGCATGACCCGCCTTTTTGCAAATTATGCAACTCGAGCCGGTGTAGCTCGATCTTTGTTGTTGATAATTGTGCCGGTTGTTTCCTCTGTAATTGGATCTTCCTCTTCCTCTTCCTTGTGAGTTTCCCCCTCTCTGACCTTGCTCCGATTTGGCATATTTACTTTCTGTCATGTTGACTTTTGACGAGAAAGCTTGCTCCAATGGCGGTTTGGTGAAGCGGCTCATTCTTTGCTCGTGTGCTACAAGTGAGCCCATCAACTCGCTCATTGGTAGATTTGCCAAATCTTTGGTTTCTTCTATCACAACAACAATATGCTCAAACTTTGATGATAAACTGCGGAGAATTCTCTCCACAATTTTTCTTTCTTCCATGATGTCACCGGTGGCTTTGATCTGGTTGACTGTCTCCGCCACACGCGAATGGAAGTCTTTGATGGTGTCGGTTTCCTTCATCATCAAGTTGTCGAACTGTCGCCATAAACTTTGGCGCCTGATGGAGATTGCTTTTTCAGAACCTTGAAATTGTTCACGCAAGACATCCCAAGCTTCTTTGGCCTTTTTGATGCCATAGATTCTCGGGTAAATCGATTTGCTCACTGCTTGCTGAATTATTCTCAAGGCGCTGGCATTTTGCTTGGCATTCTCCTTGTACTCCTTTGTCTGCTTGCCTGCTCGTTTCTTCGAGTCTTCATCCTCGTCTTGTGGATCTTCGTAGCCTTCTTGGACGATATCCCACAGATCTTGAGAGATGAAAATTGGCTCCATTTGGGCACTCCAGTACTCGTACAATTCTCCATCGAAAATGGGAATTTGATTTGATGAGGTAGCAAACATGGTATGTGATGAAGTTGTTGCCATGGCTTTTTGAGAAAAATTGTGTAGGCTAGAAAGTAGGGATTTTTGAGAGGATAGAAGGGTATTAGCTCTGATACCAAATTTGTTGGGTATTTGCGGAAGTAATGGTAATTTAGGATCAACACAAAGGAAACAATTGGTGTTTAATCACTCAATTTATGATTCACTCAAAACAAACAAGGCCTTATTCATTTGGCTCTTGTCTTACACACTCATGACAGAGACTTCTATGTTTTCTATTTTTATGTCTCTTGCACACTCTCTCTGCAATTGCCATACACACTTATACATACATATATAGATAATGTAAATGAAAGAAACTAATAATGTAAAGTCTCTTTTCTCTTCCATGCATGTGGACGTGAATGAAGATGGAAACTAGATGACCCATGTAATTACTTCATGTTTCTTGCCAACTTGATATGGATGGGACTACATAAATTATTCACCCATTAATTTGGTTGGCTTGCTTTCTTCTCATCACATCCACTTGATGAATTATTTTTTGCATAACAATCAATTTACTTCTTTGTTGGCAATAGGTTGAGATGTCTATCTTGTGCAAATGGGTTGTCCTCTTGAAGTGATTGTAGTGGGACATTTTGGTTATGATAATTATTGTTGCAAATTACCTTTCAACATGTTTCACATGGCAGTACGATTTTGCAAAGAATGCAGTAATGTCCCTCAACATGGTGGTCACATTGTTGATTGAATTTGTATACTTGACATTTGACAATACTGCATTGTGTAGAAAACCATTTTGTACATGCATAATCCTGAGATTACAGTGTGTTATACTATATCGCCAACTAACTCATATGTGAGATGAAGATGAACAAGATGGCTCATTATTCCTTTTGTTACGCCATTCTTCGATGAGGAAACGGAGGGTTTGATTAGGGGTCAATACTGTGTGATCAAGCCTTAAATTCGTCATTGGCGAAGTATCCTTCCCCATCTTTAACCATTCCTCCATAGCTTCGCGCTCATACGAGAATCCATCTGCAGCTACATAAGGATTCTCCATCACATCCTGCAATTAACACAGCAAACCCACTATTTCAACAACCAATATTGTAACACAAACTTTCCTGCCATAGGCTCTCAAGAAAGTTGTTCAAGCTAGAAGGAAGGAAGGAGTTTCGTTTTTACCCGCAATATTGGGCAAAGGAAGAAGCTGGGGATATCACTTGAAGATTCATCATCTTCATCACTTTCTCCACTCATTACTTTATCCTGACGTCCAAATCTGAAAACTATATCATCTCCCTTCTTCACTAACTCCTCCAGCTCCTTGAGAACATTTGCAGCGTCCAATTCTGTTGACAAGCACCTCATGGCTATTCCAGCAATCTCCTCCGTGAGGCCCAATGGCCAGGGCCCAGCCATCTCATCCAACATCTCAACGAGGGCCGACCGGTCCAACCTCATCCGGCTCTCTACCGATTCGCCCCAGTTTTTCCCACTCAACAGATGGAGCAAGATGACTCCTAGTGCTCGAATGTCAGACCTGAGATCGATTGAGGTGCTCGGTCTAAACCCGGTTAATTTAGCAACCATGTTTCTGTCGAGGAGGACATTGGAAACGGTTAGTTTGCCATGGACGATAGGGTTGGGTTTAGCCGAGTGGAGGAAGGCCAACGCGGAGCAGATTTGGTAGGCTACTCTGATCCGGTCGAACCACTTGAGGGTTCGGTTTCCGGATCCAGGATGAGAAGTATGAGAACAACCTAGCAAATTGTCTCTGAGGCTGCCTTCATGCATGTACTCATAAATTATGCATTTTGGCTCCGAGCAGAACCCCATCATTGCAACCAAATGTGGGTGCCTTATGTTACTTAGGAACTTCACCTACAGAACCACACAAAAAAAATTGTGAGCAGAGGCTTCTAGGGTACACATGAATATTATCGTTGACACAAACAGAATCAAAATTGGTTCTCGTCATACCTGAGAAAAAAAGTCATGGTGGTTTGACGATTCATGCTCAGCGGAGAACAATTTGATTGCAGCAGTCTTCTGGCTAATCCTTCCACGGTATACAGTACTCCAATCATCCCCCGATTTCAACCTGAGCCCACCGGAGAAGTCATCGGTGGCCGATCGGACATCCTCACCACTATACTCTCTATAACCAAACCTCAAATTCTCCCCAAACTTCATCATTACCCCACCAATGGCGTCTTTCTCCTTGCAGAACTCGATCCTCCGCTGGAGCACGTCTCTCTGCCGCCTCAATTCGTCGATCCCCCTCACCACCTCCGCCCTCTCCATCGATTTCCTCTGCAGCTGAGCCTCCGCGGCGGATCTCGCCGCCGTCGACATTTGGAGCCTGCTCGAGAGCTCCGATTGCAGTTCTGCCAGAGCACGTACTCTGTTTTGGCTTTCTTCCACGTCGCTCTTTATGTCCTCGATTCGTTCCCTGTCTGATTCCAGCTTTCTCGTTAATTCGCTCCGGATTGTGGACTCTGCTTTGATTTTGGATTCCAGCTCCTCAACCTGTGATGGAAAGCAAGCAAGTTGTTGTCTTTTTTTTTCTATCTGTGTATTTTCCCTTTTCACCATTTTCTTAGGGACCAAACAGGGGAATTGGTTGAAACAAAGGGAGGAAGGCAATTAATTACCCGGGAGTTGCAGAGTGAGACTGCCCATTCGGCATTTGCAGATCTTTCAGCATTGGCCTCGGCTTCTTCCCTCTTTAACTCGATTCTTCTCCCAATTTCTTTTATTTTGCTTCTGACAATTTCCATTTTCTGTGCAGCACTCTTTTTCCCGGAAAATAAAATTGTTCAAGCGAATCAGTGTCCCTAATCATTGTATTCGATCCTAAGGTCTTAAGGAGCAAGGGCTTACCAAATTATGATCAGCAAGCTGTGATCCAACATCATCACCTTCCTCTCCCTGCTGCTGAACAGAAGAAGTAGAAGAAGTCATCCTCTGCTCCTCGGTCTCTGCTTCCAAACTAAGACCACCCATCTTCATCGTCAAATCCTGCAGATACTTCTCGATCTCCACACCGTTGCTCTCCCAACAATCTCCTCCGCCGCCGCCACCTCGACCTTCTCCGCAAGAAGAAGACCGCTTCTTTCTCTGGTTATCACTGAACACTCTTCCAAGCCACGACGACGAACTGCCGCTACCAACAGTACTACTACTCCTGAAGCTAGGAATCGCTTTCCCCTCTTCATCCTCCATCGCCACGCCCTCGTCGCTTTCTCCAACTGTCATGCGCACCAATTTTCCGCCGCATACTATCCACATCTCGCACCACTTTGCCTTCTTCTGATGGATATAGAACAGAGCACCAATCGTGTTCCGAGTTTTCTTCCTGACAGCAGTAGAAAAGGAAAAAAGGATGAAACTTTGGGGGGAATTCTAATTTTGAAGAGTTGGGTCTTCTGTTCTGCGATTATTACCAAGAAGGGGAGAATTTCAAGAATGAAATCCCAATTACGAGCGTCGAGATTTTGAGCTTTGATATCAATTCCACCATCGCCCTCTCAATCGGCTCTTCCGATTTCTCCAGTTTCATCACTTTCGCTCTCACCCCCTAAAAACGCCATGAAAATCATAACCCCCTAAATCAGGGATTGAAAATCAAAATCCGACTCCATACCTTTCCGCAGTAAGCTATATACTCGGACAATAACTTGTCGACTTTCCGCTGCTCGTAGTTCCTGAGAGCTTCGAGCTTCTCGTCGCTCATGGAGCTTGCCAGCACCTTCCCAACTGGAAATTAAACAATTCAGGATAAGATTCATGAAAATAGAAGGAGGGATGTTGATATATCCTTACAGTGGGTGTTGACGACATCGTTGGAGCAATCGGGGGCCAGATGAAGGATGACGATTTTGGAGATGCAGGAACTCCATTTTCTCAGAGTCCAATCAAGCGTCTTCAACCCTTCTTGCAGATCGTTGCCCAGAGCTACATACACCGTTTTCGAAGCACCAGTGGTACTGGAATTGCCCTCCACTGGAGAACCCATGGACGCCATCAGCCGCGAAATCTCAGAGGTTTATGATAAAAAGATTTAGTCCATATATGGAACAGAGGAAAGACAGAAACAGAGTCTTGTGGTGATGATGATGATATGCCAAACCCATCATTTCATTTGAAGTCTGAAGACGACTCCACCGAAGAAGATTGAAGTCAACAAACTACAGGGATTTGTCAACAGAATAGACTCTGAGGAAAAAGTGGATCCCAAAAGTATAAAGGAATCTAACATTATTTTGACGAATGACAATGGTCATCTCGACTAACCCCTCTTATCATCCCCGTAAATTATCGAGACAGGACAAAAGAACGCGCCTTTCTGATAGTCCAAACGTTTCCATCACGACGAAGCTAGAAAGTATCAGCTTCCATCAGCTCTTACAGTAATCAAATCGAGGCATAACACCCAAATTTACCCGGGTCCCTGTTTGAATGGGTCATGTAAGAGAATATCAAATCACGAAGAATATCCTTCGAGTCTGGGAGTTGAATCCAATACCTTGCATCTGTCATTGTCCACTTCAGCATTTGTCTTCATTCAAGTTGTTTTTTTTTTCCAGGAAGAACTTTGAAGTGTCCCTTTGGCCATTTACTGTAGTGAAAATATTGAACAATTGAATCATAAACATCAAATGGGGGTGTAGCTCATATGGTAGAGCGCTCGCTTCGCATGCGAGAGGCACGGGGTTCGATTCCCCGCACCTCCAACATTTTTCCTTGCTATTAGATTGATTTGTTTTGGGCTGGGGTAGCCCATTTACCGTTCATCGCAATTCTGGGCTAGGCCCAATCTAATTGGCTCCATTCGTGCGGGCTTAATAGCGTGATTATTTGTGGCCTTAGTGCAAGCTAGGCCTGGGCTATAACTTTCATCTACGTTTGAGTTTTGACAACATTCCATAGAAGTAAGATCAGGCCTGCTTCATAACTTTGTGCCTGACCACAAGGTTTGGACTGGGCTTGATCGCGTCGTGTTCAAGGTTAGAGGTACGGTTTTATAGTAACAAGGTTTGTATTAATGACAAATTCTCTCATTAATACACCAAAATACAGACCTAACAATTTCGAATAACCAAAATGTAGATTGTGAACAATAGATTATAGAATTTGTTCGGGGTTCCTTACTCGTTAATAAAAAGCTTGAACGTTTTACGTTTGAATTTATGAAAGAGCTAGCTAACAAGTGAAACTGTAAAAAAAAAAAAAAAAAAATAATAAGGAAATGGTTTGTAAAGTAATAGTGGGAAAACACAAAACATGCATGCATGCTGGTCAAAAAGAGGAGGTGGGGGGTTTGTTCTTTTTAATTGATAAAATCTTCCAAGAAAATTTCTGCACTCTTTTCCCTTTTCCTCAGATTCTAAATCCTCTCCTCTTGTGAATGCCGAGAAATAAAGGCCTTGATTCACACCTAATAGTATATTATATATGTCAATATGTGTACACACACGAATTGTCTATGGTTAATCAGGAGAAGTGATTAATAATTACTGTGACAGGTGACCACGAGTAGTTCAGTTTCGATTTCTTCGATAAAGTGCCACTCAAATTATCCTAATTAATATACTTTTTTTTATGGAAATTTTTTATCGGCAAATATTTTCGTTTTACAGTTTCATATTGAACTATTATCAACTTAATTCGTGATTTAACTCATACAACCGACTAAGACCATAGAACATCACTAATAGTTCTGGCAAATGGCGGTAGAAAACAAAGGTGAGATTGGTGACGAGGCTAACGTACAACTTGGGTCTTCATTAACTAGCTGCTAATTACCGACCAAATAATCAACCAAAGGTAAAACGAAGATAAGACAAAATCCAAAAGGTAAAAGCAGATGGTATGATAAGGGGGGTGGAGGGAGAAGGTTAAAGATTTAAAAATAAAATTTAATTAAGACAGCTGTAACCATAACCACCTACAGACTACAGTTTATTGACCAGAGCTTCTTCTCTACATCCATCCCCATGTTACGGCTGACTGGAGAATACGCTTAAGAATAAGACGCGACGATGGTTGATAAAATTAATTGCCAAATGTGTTAATTAAGCTAAAAACAGAAGGCGATTATTAATGGCAGATCAGAACAAGTACAAGAAGGCAAAAAAATAAAAAAAAATTAAATAATGAGGTGTGTTTATGGTACATTTCTACTTTGAAATGTACACAGCACGCGGTAATTAAAAAAATGTACACCATACACAAATGTCTCATGAATCATTAAATTTTTAAAAACTTTATTGTTGGCGTTTGGTTAATATGATAATATAGTGTACAATTATAAATATCACATCATTTTCTACTCATAAAATTTTTAGTATAATCACATAATTATAAATGCAATTTCTTCCCCCGATAAGCTGCGATTCTCATTAAACTCAATTGGACAAGGCCAGAATCGAAAATACAAGTTTGGTGAAACCCACCACCTGCACAATAACTTTTACACCCCACCCTGCACAACCTGGATCACCAAACTGAGCTAAACATGAATAGATGAAAATGCGCGCAACAGCAAACTCGGGTCTACTAACCCCGTACAGAAGAGCATCAAACTTAAAAGAATCAACAAGTCTCTCAACAGAAGTCGACTTTCCTCCAGAATAAATCATGCAACACCTTTACCGCCAAATCACAGCTATCAACCAGCACCTACAAAAACCAATAAGCTGTCTCTAGGGATTGGTAGCCTTCAACAGATCAATAACAGCTCCAAATTAACCAAACATCCCAACTAGAATCAAACTGGCATATGACTTCCTTACGAAACCACATTCGCCACTTTCCTCGTAAAATCACAATCAAACAACAAGTGACCTCTGGATTCGGACCCCCTAGAGCAGAGCACACAACTAGGATCAACATTTCTCCCCCACTCAATTAATTTGTCTCGAGTCACGGTTCTATTCTTCATGACAAGCCAAGAAAGGAATCGATTACTGGGTATAGAAAACTTTGTTCACAATAGACACCACCACGAAACAGTAAGCTGCTTACCTCGCTTTGTATTTCACCGTAATATTGCCTTCCCATGATACTTTCTCCCTGTGCCTCTTCACTGCAATTATTTGTACTGAACAATCTTCATAAATACTAAACACATAAATACAACGTATTTATTCTCACGTTCTTTTTCTAATTGCTCTTATTCAATTGCATCATGAATCATGATGTGAGAATTTTTAGATGTATTCATAAAATAAAATAAAATAAAATAGAGGTGAATCATAATAAAAATAAAAAATTGCTAGCCTTGCTGCATACTGTACAACTAAAAAACAGGGGTGTAATCTTGACGCTAATTAATGATTTGGCGAGGTTAATTAATTAACTGTGACAGTGATGAGGGGTTAAATTATCTATGCATGTCGGGGAAGAGACAGGAAGCGCACGTGCGTCGCCGAGATCACCGAGGGGGGATATTTTGAGCGAGAGAGATGCTCCCCACGTGCCGCTTGGTCAAAGGTCAAAAGCTCTCCCTCGCCCTTCCCCTTCCCCCGCGTACCCTATTATTATTTGTTTTATTTATCATCATTCATTCATATTCATCATTCTTCTTTTTTCTTTTTGGTAGAAATTCCTCATTCTTCCTTTCTTCCCTTTTTGCTTCCTTTCATTATGATCACTTTTACTTTTCTCTTCTGCCTTCCAATTCTTTCCTTTTAACCTATTACTTAATCAGATGTGATTAAGGGAAATGTAAAGTACTTCAAAAGGAGTACTGTGGAGTGAGATTAGGGTAAGCTGGGATGACTAAGGATATGAGTTATGAGGATTGGATTTCAACTTGTTTACAATTTGTTGTATTTGTTTCGTATCTACTTTTTTTTTATTATTCTATGTTTAAAGGAAATGAGTATACTATGAAATCCATTTTAAGGTGTAGCATGGTTTTAATATTTTTAAATTTGAAAATTAATGTCCGTCTGTGTTGATGTTTGAACAAAAAGAAAAAAAGTTTTACATTAATCATCCATTTTAAAGGATAGTATGGTTTCAATATATTTAAATTCTAAAATGAATTCCCTCTATATTGATGTTTACATAAAATTTAATAAATTATATCATATTAAAATAAAATTTTAAAAATTGAATAAATTAAGTGACCTAGTCTGAAAGTACAAGACTTATATAATAAAATATGGAAATTAAAGTATTTAATTGATTTGTGATGAAAGAGATTTATAAAAGTCAAATCGCTGATAAGACACAAAGACGTATCCCTAACTTGTTTCGAATGCATTTGTCCGAAGAAAAGACTGGTAAGAGAATCCGTCAGAAGAGTTTCCATATAAAAAATTATATAATCTTTTTCCAATCCGAATGCCCAAAATCTTCTAGAACCTTTGATGATATGCTAATCACGTCGATTGACTACAACTCTGTAGATACCGAGCTCTTTATAGACGTTTGTGATCTCAAGTGGATTAAGAACTCATGACTAGATTGGAAGAGATAAATACAATAAAATTATTTTTCTATAAGGGTTATATAGGTTACCTTTTGTGATTAGGTACTACTTAAAGTATTTGAACCTGAGACCTCCAGGAAAAATAAATGATGATATTCTGGTGGCTACTGATATACAAATTGTTTGAACTAATAAGAGAATATTATATATCAGAATCCTGAAATATTGGATAAGATAGGCTTTTGAAGGAAAGGAATAAAGGATTAACGACCGACGACTATAAAAAGTTTGAAGATGACGAGAAACAATAATATCGTGAGATGGGATACTAGGGTGTCATTTGTGAAAAAATTGGTGGTTGCATTGAGATGGGATATGTGTACCTTTTCCCCTTTTCTATCAATAAAATTTAAAACACAAAGCGAGTTTAAGAAATTCTTTGCATAAAACTGGTAACAGATCGTTTGAATGGACTATTGAACTTTGTTATTTCATTGTTTTTTCTGGATATATATTAATTAAAAACTTATGCGGTGTTATATACTTTGTCTAAAATTTGGTAATATATTGAATTAAAATAAAATACCGTTAATATTATATCGATATTTTAAATATACAATTATTCTTAAAGAATATATATATTTTCGCTCTCGTTCTCGCTTCCATTTGTACAATACGTATCGATAACCTAAAGCAATTCGGCCAACGCACCTCGGTATATGATTATTATTGGAGGACATTTGGGTTTGTGGATATACAACAAGGCGAAGGAAGGTTGTTGGATTTGATCCAAAAAAATCCAGAGTAATCGCAGCTAGATACGTTGCCACATGGGTTTA